ATTGGAAGGATGTCTCAAACGAAACGGGCCGGACAGCCTCTCGCACACGTTCTGACAAGTCCACGTCACACTCGCTTCCCGTTAGGTCCTCTCCTGCAACTCCCTTCCTTCTCCCTCCTCCTCCTCCTCCTCCTCCTCCCCCTCCTCCTGCCTGCTCCCTCATCCACATCATTCTCCTCCTCCTTCTATCTCCACCTCCTTCTCCTCTTCCTCCTCCTCCACCTCCTCTTCATCCCGAACGGCATCTCGGAGCCCAGAGTTGTGAGGATGTCTCCAGCGTAACCCCAGAGTTGCGACGATGTCTCGGGCGAAACGTGCTGCGAGGAGGTCTCAGGCGAAACGGGCCGGACCACCTCGAACGCGGCTGCGGGGGCCTCCCTGGGTCCTCCTGGGGTCTCCTGGGGACCTCCAGGGGCTTCCTCCTGGGCCTCCTGTGGCCTCCTGGACCCCACCTGGGGCTTCCTGAAGCCTCTTTTGGGGCTCCCAGAGGGGGATATCTAACATGTGGCCGTCTGGGCCCCCCAAAATGGGGGGGGCCATAAGAGCAGGAAAAAGCAGCGACTCGACAACGGATGTGCATTAACTTGACACGTTCTGACGGGGCCTCCTGGGGCCTCCTGGGAGCCTCCTGGGAGTCTCCTGGGAACCCCTGGGGCCTGTCCTGGGCGTCCTGCGGCCTCCTGAAGCTCTCTGGGGCCTCCTGGGGCTCCCAGGGTCCCAGGGGGGATATGTAACATGTGGTTTTCTGGGCCCCCAGGCTGGGCCACCTCTTGCGCGGCATCTGGGAGCTCAGAGTTGCGAGAGTGTCTTGTGCGAAACGGGCCACCCTGCGCACTGCATCTCAGAGCTCGGAGTTGCGAGGATGTCTCAGGCGAGACGGGCCGGACCACCTCGCGCAGGGCATCTCAGAGCTCAGAGTTGCGAGGATGTCTCAGGCGAAACGGGCTGGAACACGTCGCGCAGGGCATCTCCGAGGTCAGAGTTGCGAGGATGTCTCAGGCGAATTGGGCTGGACCACCTCTTGCGCGGCAGCTCAGAGCTCAGAGCTTCGAGGATGTCTCAGGCGAAATTGGCCAGACCACCTCGCGCGCGGCGTCTCAGAGCTCAGAGTTGCGAGGATGTCTGAGGCGAGACGGGCCGGACCACCTCTCGCGCGGCATCTCGGAATGCAAAAATGTGAGGACGTCTCAAGCGAAACGGGCCAGACCACATCTTGGGCGGAATCTCGGGGCTGAGAGTTTGGAGGATGCCCCAAGCGAAACGGGCCTGACCCCTTCTCGCGCGGCATCAGAGAGCGCAGATTTCAAAGGATGTCTCGGGCGAAACGGGCCGGACCACCTCGCGCACGGCATATCAGGGCTCAGAGTTTGGAGGATGTCTCAGGCGAAACGGGCCTGACCACCTCTTGCGCGGCATCTCGGAGCCCAGGGTTTCGAGGATGTCTCAGGCGAAATGGGCCGGACCACCCTGCGCACGGCATCTCAGAGCTCAGAGTTGCGAGGATGTCTCAGGCGAGACGGGCCGGACCACCTCGCGCACGGCATCTCAGAGCTCAGAGTTTGGAGGATGTCTCATGCGATACGACCCGGACCACCTCTCTCGCTGCATCTGGGAGCTCACAGTTTGGAGGATGTCTCAGGCGAAACGCCCGATCCCGGACAACTCAGAAACGAGAGTTGCGAGGATGTCTCAGGCGAAACGGCCCGGACTACCAAATTTGTTTGGGGACGTCTCTGCTTTGAATTCCCTCGGCCGGAGTTAGCTTCTATCACAGCAGCACCCCGTTCAGCAAGCTGTTTGGGGAAACAAAGGTTTGCCTCCATGCTCTGGAGCCTGTTTGCTTCGATGCAGTGGATCCAGGTCATTTGCGAGTAGCTACTTTGCTAGTAGTAGAACGCGCTGGTCTATTCCTGATACCCCACCAGGGCTCGGACGACCATGCCCGTTCTTAACTTGTTGGGTCAGTGTATTTTGCTTGCGTGGGACCTGCTTGCGGCGCCTAGTTGAGCACGGTTACTTTCGAGGTGGCCGCTGCGCAGAGGTAGCTTTGCGGATGGGGGATGCCGTAGTTATGTCGATGATCCTACGAATCTGAGCATGTCAACGGGATGTCCTTGTGTGGGTTTTGTCAGGCAGGATCCGAATCAGCACCTCTTGTGCCAATAACTCGGTCCGATCGATGCTGCTGTCTTTGCCTTCGCTCCACCTTGTGCTGGGATCTCTTGCACTTGGCCTGTTCCGATCTGGCTGCGTATTCGGTGAGATCTGTCCTTTCGCGTACTGTTTTGGCGACCTCTCGGGGGCGTCTCGCCACCAGCACGGCTGGGCGCGGCTCGAAGAGCGTGTCAGGATGAGGTCTGTGTGGCAGGTGGGAATGGCGACACGAGCGCTGCATGCCAGCTCTGGTTGGCGATCGCATTTCGGCACGTCACATAGCTGCCGCAGCGACGTCGGATTTTCGCTCCGTGGCCTGGAGCCAGGGACCAGCTAGATACGTGCAGCTTGCTCCAGCCCAAAAAAGTCACTAACCACCAAGCCCCCCCCCCCGAGCCAACCCGGAGGTCCCAGGGTGCCCTTCATTCCCGGGCAGGGGGGGCGTCCTGGAACATAGAAAAAACACGTGTGGACCCTGAGATCCGACTTTGCAAACGAAATTGCAGCACCGCGCAAAAGTCACGACCAGAGCCCCAGACCCCATCTTTCTGCGTAATTGTTCGAGCCAGATCGATCTGCGAGGGTCCCGGGGCCCCAGATGGAGCGAAAACGCCCGTGGCGAAAACGCCCGTGGCGAAAAATTCGCAACGCCAGGATCTCAGGGGAACCCGAACCCCCACCCGACCCGAAATTCGGGTCTTCGGGTTCCGGGTGGTCTGGCGGGCAGGCGAAAAGAGGCCCCCCAGTGCCCCCCCCCCCCAGGCACTGGGGCCCGTCGCCCCCCCCCCAGCCCCCCGCGCCCTTCCGTTGAGGGGCCAATTTTCCACCACCACTACCATATGTAGGCCGTGGGAGAAGGGAGGACGGGGAGGACCTCCTCTCCTCCTCCTCCCTCCTCCTCCTCCTCCTCCTCCTCCTCCTCCTCCTCCTCCTCCCTCCTCCTCTCCTGCTCCTCCTCCTCCTCCTCCCTCCTCCTCCTCCTCCTCCTCCTCCTCCTCCTCCTCCTCCTCCCTCCTCCTCCTCCCTCCTCCTCCTCCTCCTCCTCCTCCTCCTCCTCCTCCTCCTCCTCCTCCTCCTCCTCCTCCCTCTCCGACCTCTGGCAGTGGTGGTGGAGCATCGGCCCATCATCCAACGCCCCCCCGAGTCGGAGCCCGCGCGCCGGAGGCCGCCTCCTGCCCTCGGGCCGCTGGCTTTCGGCGGCGAGCGCGGGGGGGGAGAGGGAGAAGGAGGAGGAGGAGGAGAAGGAGGAGGAGGAGGAGGAGGAGGAGGAGGAGGAGGAGGAGGAGGAGAGCTTCGGGTTCGAGGTTCGAGGTCTTCGGGCGCTCTCGTTGGCTCTCGGGGGTCGTCCAGCCTCGGGATGCAGTTCCAGCGGCTGCCCCCCTTTCCGAGGGCGTTCCAGGGGTGCGCGCATCGTCCCGAGCGGCCGCCAGGGACCCGAGGGATGGCCCGAAAGCCAATCTCGGCGGCGCACTGGGGGGGGGTGAGGAAGTGAAAAGGAGAAGGCCTTCTCAGAAGGCGGCGGGGCTTCTCAGAAGCCCTTGCGCCTTCTGAGAAGTTTGCCGTGCCTTCGGGGAGGGCTCAGAAGATTTCTCAGGAGGCCCGGGCTTCCGAGCCTTCTAAGAAGGCCTTCTCCTTCTCCTTCTCCTTCTCCGCCTCCTTCTCTTTCTTGCCCTGGGCCGCTCTCCTGTGTGTGCAGCAGGCGCGTAAGAGAAGACATCTTCCTATGCAGTCGAGGCCGATGATCTAGGCCTTCTGGATGGGGTCCGAGAAGATGGGGTCGGAGGATCGCGCCGCATCGGTGATGCATCGGCGATGCGGCCCGATGTGGAGCCCGATTTTTTCCACGCACGCGTCGGTACATCGCCGACGTCGCCGATGTTTCGCTGGTGCATCGCTGATGCATCGGCGATGCATCCCCGATGCATTGGCGAAGCGGTCCCATCTACTCGGACCCCATCTAGGAGGCCCCTAGATGATCAGGGTTGGTGGTCTTCCTACAGGGTACCCTTCCATCCTTGCCTCCTCGGCCCATCCTCTCGATTGCCAGCTCCGATCGACGAGCTTCGACACGGGCGTCCAAGGGGATGGCCTCATTACTGAGCATCCTCACTACAGTGAGCGGCTTGAATAAGGAACACTTCCTTTCAAAAGGGGCTCGGTCGTTCCTCAGGCTTGCATGCGTTATTCATCATTCCTTAATGCGTTATTTGTTGTATATCGTTCCTTCTGCGTTACTCCTTGGAAAAATAAGGGGCTTCGTTCCTTATTTATCGTTCCTTAGGTCAGGTCGATGACTGTATCCAATGGCCTTCGGCCCATCCCGCCAACCCATGCCTGGCCTGCGGGCAGGAAGCCGCCACTGCTCAAAAAGCCCAGAGGGGCACGCGGGAAGCCCCCGGGGGCATGCGGGAAGCCCCGGGAGGTCTCTCGGAACACTGGGCCCGGCCCCTGAAAAAGTCTCCTGAGGACTGCGGGCTGAGGCTCCAGGGATTGGGCAGAGGACCTGGGGACGCGCCCGCTCCGTGCCCAGAGGCACGGTGGAGGATCAGTTTGGACTGTACAGTCGGGGCCCTGAAGCAGGAGCCCTTCTCGTTGGTCAAGGGGCTCCGCGTTCCTTTAAGTGTTTCACAGCTTGCCTCAGGCTTTCCTTCTGTTTTCGACAGGAAGTCGAAGGTTAACTTATGGGAACAAGGGGCCTCGTTCCTTATTTAGGGTTCCTTAGGTCAACGCCCCGACTGTAAGAGGTCCAGGGGCACAAGGGGAGGAAGGGGTGAGGGGAGCGGAGGATGCCACAAGCCGGGTGCGCTCGCGCCACATCCGAGATGCTACCCCTCCCACCCGTGCCTTCCCAGCGAGTTGGGCCCTCTTCTCCCTGCCGACCAGGGCCCTTTGCCGACTGCTGGGGCCCAGGGTGGCCTGGCGCACAGACGACTTCGGCGGGTCCCAGGCAGGGCAGGCGCCGAAGGCGCCCGCGCCTCGCACAGCGCGGGGAGCGCGAGGCGGGGGGAGCCTCGTCAGCCCTGAGTCTCGTGGGGTGCCCCAGGATTCCGCGGGCCCGCCCGGAGGTGCGACGTTCTCGTGGGGCACCCGCTGTCCCTGGGAGCCTGACGGCTCTCTCTGGCGCGCACCTGGACGACGTTGCCGCGACATCTTCGTTCGATGCTGAGGCGCTGGCGTTGCAATTTTGCATTGATTTCATGTTTCACATCATCCGTAGAACGTAAAGCAGGGCCTCGCGCCAACCAACTTTCAACTGTCTGTCCCGGCTGGCCGTGCACGGCTTTAGGCTGAACCCAGAACCCAGAAACCAGAGCCTGACGGCTTTTCCCCAATCGACTTGGGGGGATCAGGCAAGATAGGTCGAGGCAAGTCCATGCAACTCGAGGCACATCTGGATAACTCCATGGTACATCCGGAGGCCTGCGGGGAAGTCTGGAGCGAGTTTCGTGGGCGCTCCAGCGCGAGCCGAAGGACCGCCGAAGTCGTTAAGCCCTCGTGGCCTCAGTCGACGCTGGCAGGCCATTCTCCTATTTGGCGTGCCTGCTGTGGCCGAGGGGTGATGGGGACCCTGGAGCTCGGGACCCTGGGCCTGGGGCCGCTTTTCCGTCCCCCAGGTAGTTCTTCCTGGAAAGGGCGCGGGTCAGCATTTTCTTTCAACTGGTCAGCTTTCCCCGGTGCCAAGAGTTCCTCTTAGGGCTGTCGGATCAGTCTGCGATCAGTAGCGAGGTCGAAGAGGACTGGCAGATTAGATTCTGAGCATATCCCGAGCGAAACGCCGGTTGTTCAAATCCCGACTGGCAACACATGGTGAAGTGAACATTGTCGTTTGTTGCAGATGTCTCGAACGAAGCGCCTGTTTTGCAGATTTGGTTGACGATGTCTCGAGCGAAACGCTTGTTTTGTCTCTATAAATTGCTCTTCTCCTGGGAGCCAGGATTCAGAGGATGTCTCATGCGGAAGGCTTGTTTTCACGTGCCAGGGTCTCCCAGGGGGGTATCTAGCACGGTTGCCCCTAGCTGGAACAGCGTGTTTCCACGTGTCCAGGCCACGCAGAGGGGTAGGGGTATCTAACATGGTGGTCCCGAGCTGAAGCCAAGATTTCTACGTGTCCAGGCCACCCAGTTGGGTATCCAACATAGTCCCGAGCTGGAGCCACGTGTTTTTACGTGTCCAGGCCACCCAGGGGGGGTACTTCACATGGTTGCCCCGAGCTGGTGCCACGTGTTTTTTCGGGAACGGCGCGGGCCGAGCTCCTGTAGGACCGATTGATTCTTCCATCTGATAGGTATCGAGGCCGCGTAGGGCCGGCGGATGAACAGTCGTGGACGTCTCGGGCGAAACGCTTGTTTTTGGAATCACGGTCGAAACGCGGGCGCCGCGCGGCAGAGGCAGTCCGCACGCGCGCCCGAGCGACACCAGAGGGCGGAGTCGCGACTTAGCCCCGCATGCACGAGGGGGGGAGGGAGGAGAGGAGCCAGCCGCGGGAGGGGGGGCGGGCGCGGGGGCGCACTCACGCAGCGAGGCTGCGGCGGGTGCGTGGGCGCGGCCTGGTGGAGGGGCCGACCTGGCAGCAGGCGCGGGTCGGCGTCGCAGTGCGCCCAGGGAGGGGGTCAGCAGCCACAGTGCGGGCGAGGCCCGGCAAGTCGGAGAGTGGGAGCGGCTGGCGGCTGGAAGGCCAGGTTGCCGGCGGGGGGGAGGCACCGGCGCGGGGCAGGCAGCGGCAGGAGGTGCGCCAGCGCTGCAGCGGCTGCGGGTAGCCCAAAGCGGTGGATGGCGCGGCGGCCCCGCGGCAGAGTCGGGCCGGCAAGGCACCCGTCGCAGGGCGCTGAGAAAAGCAGGTAGGGGAGAAGTTGGAGTGCCACTCCGCAGCCAGTGCACGGCATCATGGCAGGGAGTTAGGCGTCGCCCAGTGTAAGCGGCGCACGGGCAGAGCCCCTAAGAGCGAAGGGCAAGCCCAGCCGGCCGTCAGGGCAAAGTGGGGGGCGAGCCGCATTCAATGGCGGTGCCCCCCTGGCGGGGCAGCGGTGTTGCGGCCGGGGCAAATCCGTTTTTGCACGCAGAAGCTGCAGGCGCTGGCATGACCCTGCGCGCCCACCGCCCGTCAGGCGAGAGCGGTGCGTTGGAGGGGGCGGTCCGCCCGAGGCCAGTGCGCGGCGCCGCGACCTGGGACGTCGGTTGGGGTCGAGCCGCTTGGCGGAACCGACCAGTTTTGTTTGTTTCTTGTTTTTGTTTTTTGTTTCCCCCCCCGCGCCGCTGTCACGGCCTATCGCGCTGCCGCTGCTGTCCTAATAGATTCCCTCATCTCCCACCGTGCCACTGCCGCCGCCAATGCCGCCTTTGCCTCTGACCGTGCTGCCGCTGCCAGAGCTGGCTGCCGCTGCCACTTCTCGCGCGCGCTGATCGGGGTGCTGTAGCAGATGATGGATGGCTCCAACTTCGCACCCAGCATTTCGCTGAGCAGCGCCAGGGCCAGCTGCCGCTGCCCTTGCCCGCTCGTCTCGCACGTGCTGGTCGTGGCACTGTAGCAGATGATGGCGGGCTGCAGCTTCTCTCCCAGCATCTCGCTGACTTGCGCCAGGGCCAGCTGCCGCTGCCCCTCCCTATCCGTCTCGCGCGTGCTGATCGGGGCGCTGAAGCAGACGATGGCGGGCTGCAGCTTCACACCCAGCATCTCGCTGAGCAGCGCCAGGCCTACTAATAGCGACGAGGTCCATCGAATGGTCCGTGCGTGTCGTGCTGTGTTTCTGGCAGGCGCGGAACTCTTTTCCGTTTTGGCCGCAGCTGGAGTTCAGAGGCAGGTCTGGAGCGGTCCGCGCTGCTCCCCTCGGAAAGTTCTGCTGCTCCCTTCCCGGATCTGGCCCATGCTTTGGCCTGGATGGGCTCGTCCTGGCGGTGTCGGGTGTGCCTCCACGGGCCCAGGGCCAGGTTCAGGCCTTCTGGGGGTCCGCGCCTTGGAAATTTCGCCTGGATCAAGGTGCCCTGGAGTGTCTTGGTCATCGTTTCTTTTTCCCCATATCCTAAGGATTGGGGTTCTTGTTATTACTCTGACGCCTCCCACTGCTCCTCCTTCCTCCTTCCTCCCGCTCGCGCCTCCCTCCTTTCAATGATAATCACCAGATAAGACAAGACAAGATAACATACTACAATATAAGATAAGATAGCACAATATATGATAAGGTGATAAGAAGAGATTTCAAGATAAGATAAGACAACTTAAGCTCACACTCACACTCTCTCATGATCACAAAACGCTGCCAGGGGCATCACTTGGGAGCCCCAAGGGGGAGCCACCCTGGCTGATCTCACGAGCCCGTTCGCGCCGATTTTGGTGGGACGTCTCAGCTAGAATTGCCGTTTGGCGCCCCCAACATGTATCTCTTGAGAGCCTCATGGTCGCAAAACGCTGCCAGGGGCATCATTTGGGAGCCCCAAGGGGGAGCCACCCTGGCTGATCTCACGAGCCCGTTCGCGCCGATTTTGGTGGGACGCCTCAGCTAGAATTGCCGCTTGGCCTCCCCAACATGTATCTCTTGAGAGCCTCATGGTCACAAAACGCTGCCAGGGGCATCATTTGGGAGCCCCAAGGGGGAGCCACCCTGGCTGATCTCACGAGCCCGTGACGAGAGAGAGAGAGAGAGAGAGAGAGAGAGAGAGAGAGAGAGAGAGAGAGAGAGAGAGAGAGAGAGAGAGAGAGAGAGAGAGAGAGAGAGAGAGAGAGAGAGAGAGAGAGAGAGAGAGAGAGAGAGAGAGAGAGAGAGAGAGAGAGAGAGAGAGAGAGAGAGAGAGAGAGAGAGAGAGAGAGAAGAGAGAGAGAGAGAGAGAGAGAGAGAGAGAGAGAGAGAGAGATAGAGAGAGAGAGAGAGAGAGAGAGAGAGAGAGAGAGTGAGAGAGAGAGAGAGAGAGAGAGAGAGAGAGAGAGAGAGAGATAGAGATAGAGAGGAGAGAGAGAGAGGAGAGAGAGAGAGAGAGAAAGTGAGAGAGAGAGGGAGAGAGAGAGAGAGAGAGAGAGAGAGCGAGAAGAGAGAGAGAGAGAGAAAGAGAGAGAGAGAGAGAGAGAGAGAGCGGGAGAGAGCGAGAGAGAGAGAGAGAGAGCAGAGAGAGAGAGAGAGAGCGGGAGAGAGCGAGGGAGAGCGAGAGAGAGCGAGAGAGAGCGAGTGAGAGCGAGAGAGAGAGAGAGAGAGAGCGAGAGAGAGCGACAGAGAGCGAGAGAGAGCAAGAGAGAGCGAGAGAGCGAGAGAGAGAGAGAGAGAAGAGAGAGAGAGAGAGAGATAGAGAGAGAAAGAGAGAGAGAGAGATAGAGAGAGAGAGAGAGAGAAGAGAAGAGAAGAGAAGAGAAGAGAAGAGAGAGAGCGAGAGAGAGAGAGAGGGAGAGTGAGAGAGAGAGGAGAGAGCAGAGAGAGAATAGAGAGAAGAGAGAGAGGAGAGAGAGAGAGAGAGGCAGAGATAGAGGCAGAGAGAGAGAGGCACAGAGAGAGAGGCAGAGAGAGAGAGAGGCAGAGAGACAGAGGCAGAGAGAGAGGCAGAGAGAGAGAGAGAGGCAGGGAAAGAGAGGCAGAGACAGAGAGAGGGCAGAGAGAGAGAGAGAGACAGAGAGAGCAGAGAGAGCAGAGAGAGAGGCAGCTCAGTCACACTTAAATCCAGATTCGTCCTCACCGAGTCCCACCACCAAGGGAGCGCCAGCAAGGAGATGCACATATGGGGATCCCCACGCAGTGAATAATTCTTTTCCTCGTAGTCACACGTTTCATAGCAGCGGTGTTGAAATCAACGGTCTGGCGCGCAAGTGTGCTAAACCCGCTGTGACGGGTGAGAAAACCTTGGCCTGTCTCAAGAAAAGGCCAACACCCTGATAGGGATGGTCTGGTTCTCCAGTTGGACGAATGTGTCCCGCTGTTCTAATTCCAGACGCTGCGCGTCACCACACCAGCGGCCCGGACGTTGCCCTCGCCGCCTGCCCTCTGCTGCGCGGCCGCGACCCCCCCCAAAAACCCACCAGCCCATCCAGAAACGTTGCCCAGAGGAGTTGCGTCGATCAGGGAAGTGGGCAGTGCACAGGGGAAGGGCCCCCCAATGGAGGCCTCTTGGAGCGTCTTGGGGGCCTCGTGGCGGTCCCGGGCGCCTCTTAGAGCGCCTTGGGTGCCTCGGAGAGCTTCTCGGGGCCTCTTGGGAGTCTCTTGGGGCCTCTTGGAGGCCCCTTGGGCGCCGGTTGGGGCCTCCTGGGGCCTCCTGGGGCCTCCTGGGCGCCTCTTGGGGCCCTCTTGAAGCGCTCTTGGGAGCCTTGGGAACGCTCTTGGCGCCTTCTTGGGCCATCTTGGAGCCATCTTGAGGCCTCGGCGAGAAAACCAAAAACACATGGATTTCCCCAAAGTTTTGGAAGGATTTTGGCCTCTTCGGGGCCTCCTGGGGGAGCTCTTTGGCCACTTGGAGCCGTCTTGGAGCGGTCTTGGGGCCTCTTGGGGCACCGTGGGAGCCATCTTGAGGCATCCTGGGATATCTCGAGCCATCTTGGAGGTCATCTGGGGCTCTCCCAGGCGCTCTTGGAGTCATCTGAAGCAGTGCCCCCCCCAGGAGGCCAACAACATGTGGCCAAAACCTTTCTGCAAACTCAGTGATTTTGGCATTGTCGCCGAGGCCTCTTGGAGCGTCTTGGGTGCCTCTGGTGGGCCTCTTGGGGCCTCTTGGGGGTCTCTTGTGGGCCTCTTGGGGGCATCCTGGGGGCCTTTTGGGGGCCTCATCGGGCCTCCTGGCCACCTCTTGGGGCCCTCTTGGAGCACCCTTGGGGGCCTTGGGAGCGCTCGTGGGGCCATCTCGGAAGAGATCGATCAAAAAAGGTGGGTTCCTTAATTAGCGCCGCCCCCCCAAGAGGCCAACATGGGTTCAAACCCTTAATCAAACTAATGATTTTGGCTTCCTCGCCGAGGCCGTCTTGGACGCCCTGACCGCTCGCGGGGCGCCCCGTCCAGGTCCAGGGGAGGGGGTCGGGGGAGGGGTACCCCCCTCCTCGTAGGGGGAGAAATGGGGTTGGAAGAGGAGCCGCCCTAAGCCACCTACGCCCAGAGGGCTGATGGGATAACGGTAGAGTTGACCGTCATCTCACTGCGCCGCTGGCTGGGTTGCCTGCGTATTTCTCCAAGTAGACTTGCCTTATAGGAGTTCGAGTTCAAAGTCTACTACTTGGTCCGTTGCCCCCCCGAATTCCGATGCCCACACTAATTCCTATGGCTATGCCTCTGCCTATGCTTATGCCTCCTGCCCTAGCTCCTATGCCTACGCCTAGCTTGCTTGCTCTTGAGTGCTTGCTCTCGCTTGCTTGCTCTTGCTTGACCTTGCTTGCTTGCACTTGATCGCTGGCTCTTGCTTGCTTGTTATTGCTCGCTTGCGCTTGCTTGCTTCCGCTTGCTTGCTTGCGCGTGCTTGATTTTGCTCCTCCCGTCCTCCCGTCCTGCTCCTGTCCTCCTTTCGGCCTCCCATCCTCGTCTCGTCCTCTTCTTGTCCTCCTATGTATTTGGAGTCAACTCTGGCTGATATTATCTTCTTTCGCATTGGCAAGTACGTTGCTGGCAAGAAAGAGGAGGGGGAGGAGGAAGAGGAGGAAGAGGAGAAGGAGGAGGAGGATGAGGAGGAAGAGGCGGAGGAGGAAGAGGATGATGATGAATCTTACTCTTAATACTACTGTTACTAAGGATAACAAGAGTAGCACGAAGCAACCCAACAATCATAGTGCTAGTAATATGGATGCTATACGAAGACAACGAATATTATTACACATGGCACCAAGAGTAACACGAATGATACTAGTAACAAAGACGGCGAATATGCAGAGTGATACAGCGAAGAAGAAGAAGACGACACATCATGTTCACGCTAATGATAGGAATAATAATACTATGGATAATGTGATTAACAATGGTATTGCCGGTAATAAACATAACATTATGCGAATAAACGTAATACTACATCCCCAGGACGATTTTCCCTTCTTGGGTCTGGAACGACGGCTTGAAGTCTTGAGCAGACGCGTATGAGATAACCGCCCTCGGATCCCATGAAGTTCGCGCGGATCCAAGTGTGGTCTTGGCTTGGTGTTTGTTTCGGTGGATCCGATTTCCGTCCGCGCGGACCCGATTTCGGATTGGCTGGATCCGTGTTCGGTCTGGTGGATCCGATTTCTTCACCGTTTTAAAGTTATATTATTCAATTGAAGCGGGGAACCCGTGGAAATCGGATCCGCGGACCCCGGAACCCACCCGTGTTAAGATTTTAGGGGGGAAGGGGATTCGGCTTTTTTTTCCAACACATTATCGCCATTTGCACCTCCAGACGTACCCGAAGAAATCGGATCCGGGGAACCCGGAACCCACCCGTGTTAAGATTTTACGGGGAAAGGGAATTTGGCGATTTTTTCCAACACATCGTCGCCATTTGCACCTCCAGTCGAACCCGAGGAAATCGGATCCGCGGACCCCGGAACCCACCCGTGTTAAGATTTAGGGGGGAAGGGGATTCGGCTTTTTTTCCAACACATTATCGCCATTTGCACCTCCAGACGTACCCGAAGAAATCGGATCCCGGGAACCCGGAACCCACCCGTGTTAAGATTTTACGGGGAAAGGGAATTTGGCGATTTTTTCCAACACATCGTCGCCATTTGCACCTCCAGACGAACCCGAGGAAATCGGATCCGCGGACCCCGGAACCCACCCGTGTTAAGATTTTACGGGGAAAGGGAATTTGGCGATTTTTTCCAACATTTGCACCTCCAGACGTACCCGAGGGACCCCGGAACCCACCCGCGTTAAGATTTTACGGGGGAAGGGGATCCGGCTTTTTTTCCAACACATCATCGCCATTTGCACCTCCAGACGAACCCGAGGAAATCGGATCCGCGGACCCCGGAACCCACCCGTGTTAAGATTCTACGGGGGAAGGGGATTCGGCTTTTTTTTTTTGTTTCAACATGTCATCGCCATTTGCACGTCCAGACGAACCCGAGGAAATCGGATCCGCGGACCCCAGAACCCACCCGTGTTAAGATTATCCCAGTACGACCCTACTTAGGAGTTGGAGCATCTAGGAAAGCAACATCTACATCTGCACCGACAGCTACATTAACATCTACACCTGCATCTACATCTACATCAACATCAACAGCGATACTCACATCTACATGCTAGGGTACGCTCGGCTGCGCTGTGTTATGCTAGGCTATGCTATGCTATGATATGCTGCGCTATGCTATGCTATGCTGCGCTATGCTATGCTATGCTATGCTGCGCTATGCTATGCTATGCTGAGCTATGCTATGATATGCTATGCTGCGCTATGCTATGCTATGCTAGGCTATGCTATGCTGCGCTATGCTATGCTATGCTATGCTCAACTTTGCTATTCTATGTTATGCTGTGCTATGTCATGGTATGCTGCGCTGTGCTATGCTAAGCAATGCTATACTATGCTATGCTATGCTATGCTGTGCTGCGCTATGCTATGATATGCTATGTTATGATTTGCTATGCTATGCTAAGCTATGCTATGCTATGCTATGCTATGCTTGACTATGCTATGCTATGTTATACTGTGCAGATGCTGCGCTGCGCTGTGCTGTGCTGCGCTGCGCTGAGCTAAGCTAAGCTATGCTAAGCTAAGCTAAGCTAAGCTAGGCTAGGCTAAACTAAGCTAAGCTAAGCTAAGCTAAGCTAAGCCAAGCCAAGCTAAGGTAAGCTAAGCTGCGCTAAGCTGCGCTAAGCTAATCTAAGCTAGGCTAGGCTAGGCTAAGCTAAGCTAGGCTAAACTAAGCTAAGCTAAGTTAAGCTAGGCTAAGCTAAGATGAGATAAGCAAAGCTAAGCTAAGGGGACGCAGCTGGGGGAACCGTGGGGCGGGGACTGGGGGAACCGGCCGGGGCGTTTTACACTGCCCGGCCCTTTTAAGCAAACAAAGTAAGAACCCTCTAGGCAGAGCCTAGGTAGGGAATAAGCTAAGCTAAGATGAGATAAGCAACGCTAAGCTAAGGGAACGTCATTGGGGGCACCGCGGGGTGGATCCTGGGGGAACCGCCCGGGGCGTGGAACACTGCCCGGCCCTTTCAGCCAACACGGTAAGAACCCTTCTAGGCAGAGCCTGGGTAGGGAATTTACGGAGGAAGGGGACTTGGCAATTCTGTTCCAACACATCATAGCCACTTGCATCTCAAGAGGAAAATCTTGCGTCTTGCGTAAATAATGAGAGTGCGAAGAAGAATGCTGCCATTATTACTACTACGAATATTGAGTATAGTATCGCGAATAATACGAATACAGATATTACGACGACCAAACACAATGCTAACATTATCAATGGAAACGCGCTACTAACAATGCTAAGAATACTTAAACATAGATTAAGAAGAACATAACGAAACACATTACGAACACTAATGCGACAAATAACGGTCATACTAATACTAGCACCACTAATGATACTATCAAGACTAATACGATTAAGACCAATGCGAATAGTAATACGAAGGGGGAATATTCAGGATTATAATAATACTAACAGCTCTGAGGGTAATGTGTTAAGAAGAAGCAACCAACGACGAACACAACTAATCCGAGTAACGCTACACATAATGATAACACTCGGATTCAGAAGGCGAGTACTAATCTAATAACAATGATCGTACCAATGTGACGAATAAGGACAACATGAATAATATTTTTCGCACGGAACAATGCAACATATTAGTAATAATGACAATACTATTCACTATTCAGAATAATAGTACGGATCATAAGACGGAGGAGGAAGAGGAGGAGATGGAGGAGGAGGGAGGAGGAGGACGAGGACGAAGACGAGGTCGTGGACGAGGACGAAGAGGAACGTGGAGGAGGAACGCGAGGACGAGGACGACGACGAGGACGAGGACGAATACGAGGACGAGGAGGAGGAGGAGGAGGAGGAGGAAGAGAGCAGGAGTAGAGAGCAGGAAGAGAGAGAGAGAGAGAGAGAGAGCTAGAAAGAGAGAAAGAGAGAGAGAGAGAGAGAGAAAAAGGAACATGGGGTGTGGGAGAGCGGTGGGAGCGGGGGGCGGGGAACAGGACGAGGTAGGGCACTCGTTGGCAGGCCCGTTTTTGGTCTGGCGTGCCCGTCGCAGCCGAGCTGGGGCAGCTCGGGAGCGGCACCCCCCGGCAGGCTCGAGCACGGCCTGGGCTGCCGCCCCCGAGCCCCCCCGAGCGCCGCCTTCGCCGCCACCGCCTCAGGGCCCAAGGCAGCCTCCCGGAGCCCTGCCCCGGGCGCTCCCCGCCGACTGTGAGAGGCGCCGCCCCCGCCTCCCCCGACCTCGGAGGGCACCAAGTATATACACCAGCGCCGATCCTGGCCCAGGATCGCCCTGGGCCCAGGATCGGTGTATATATGCCTTCTTGACCAAGGCAGGAGGGCGTACACACCGATCCCGGGCCCAGGGTGATCCTGGCCAGGATCGGTGCTGGTGTATAGTTGGTGCCCTCCTACGACCGCCGAGGCTTTCGGGCGCTTCCGTCGGTACTCTCGGCGGGTTCTCGGCCTCGGGGCGCTCTCCAGCAACCGTGCCTCGCCGAGAGCGTTCTCCCAGGGTGCCCGAATATCGTCCCGCACGCGGGCCAGAGGCCCGAGGTGGGACCCGAAGACCACCTGGGACCGCCCCTCGAAGAAGTCAATCAGAAGAGGAACGTCTGCCGATACCGCCACCCTTCCCTCTTCGCCACGGCCGGATTCGCCTCGAATTTTTGGTCAGAGCGCACCCCGTGAGTGGCCCAGGGAGCAGCAGTCTTCGAGGGCCCCCAAACGGTGCTGTGACCGCACCGTGTGGTGTGTCTGGGGAGTCGGCGTGAGCGCATGATTTTGGAACTTTGGCCGTTCTCTCGAGTTTTGGTGCGCATCGAAGAAAGAGACGCTTCATAGGCATAAACTTTGGGAGCTCCGGAATCCGATGTTTTTATGCATCTGTTCTTGCGGTAGCGCAGGAGGCACCTGTGCACCACCACCTTGCCGGTCAGGGCCACCCAAGGCCCCGGCATGGTGTGCAGCCAAGACCCCGCAGCAAGGACCACTTCGGGATCAGGCAGGGACTCTGGCTTTCGGGCCCTTCCTCAGATCTTGGTCGGGGAGGAGGAGGAGGAGGAGGAGGAGGAGGAGGAGGAGGAGGAGGAGGAGGAGGAGGAGGAGGAGGGAGGAGGGAGGAGGGAGGAGGGACCCTGTTCGTGGCCGAGGCTCGCCGTGGCCAGAAGAGCCCCTTCCGTCCCTTGCCTCGGTGCTCCCCATGGTGGCACGACTGCTGTGCGCGCCCTTCTGGCCGAGGCCAGGAGGCTCTATACTCAGATTTCGTAATAAAGGGAGGGGGGTCTCATTTCGGGGGGGGTCTCTTCCAGGCTATCTTGGAGGGCCTGGGGGGGGTCTGGGGACGATGTTTTGGAGGGTTCTCCCACGGGGGAGGTCTGAAATGGCTTGTCTTGGAGGGTCCAGATCCCCTCCCTTTTATTACGACATCTGGAGTACCCAGAAGAGGAGCCAGGGAGCATCCATGCTGGTACCTGACGGCCCCCCAAAACAATCACCATCCTACGACATCCTTGGGAACACACATCACACCGACTGCGACATACGGCTCTCCATCTTTTCCTCATGAATGACTTCTTCCTGTCGCACTCCAAAGCCAGTTTGTAGGGCGGGCCGGGCGTTTCGCGTGAGACTCCCTCATTATTTCTGACCCTGGAGCTTGAACATTGGCAACCGCTTCACACATGGAGGGCGGGTCGTTTTCAAAATGTGGCTCTCGCCTGAGCGCCACGTTCATTCGTTTTCAAAATCTGCAAGAGTTTCACGGGTTGAGGGCGGGCCGTTTTCAGAATGTGGCTCTCGCCTTAGCGCCGCGTGCATTCGCTTTCACACATTGCAAGAGCTTCATGGATTGAGGGCGGTTCCTTCTCAACATGTGACTCTCGCCTTAGCGCCGCGCACATTCGTTGTTAAGTTCTGCAAGAGTTCAACGAATTCCCATGAGTAGCGTACCAGAAATTGTGTTTGAAAGGATTCGGGATTCTGAGGCTTCAACAGTTTGTTGATTCGCGGTGTTGAAGTCCCAGGAATGGCGTTCTGGCACGATTCAGGATCGTCAAGACGCAACATTCAGGTTGATACGTGGAGTTGGAATCCCGAGAACAATGTTTTGGCATGGTTCAGGGTATTCAAGAGGTTGTCTTCCAACGAGGCAGGTCCTTCAGTGGAAATGAAACGTTGTAGGGGCCCGTGAAGAGGGAGCTTGGAGGGAGGGCTTATTGAATCGCTTCGGTCACTCCGCCGGCCCGTATTGTGCTATCGCAGGCGTTTGCCTGCACGCTCGTGGCCTCTTGGGGCCTCTTGGGGGCCGTGGGAGGCGCGGCCTTTACAGATCGGAGGCCACGGCTGCCCTCTCGCCGCTGCGCTCGTCTGGGACACCTTTTGCGGCGCACCCACTGCTACAGTGGGGGCCCATGCCACGAAACACCCTGCCTGCCTCCAGGGTGCCCTGGGTTTCTTGGGTTTCGCTTGTTCTGCTATGGAAAGCGTGATACTCCCACACCAGACCTCGATGGATGTCCTGGGGTCTCAGGGTTTGGTTTCTTGTGGAAGGTTTCTTGTGGATTAATCATGCAGGCCGGCGCGGGGGGAGGCTCCTCCTCCTCCTCCTCCTCCTCCTCCTCCTCCTCCTCCTCCTCTTTCTCCTCCTCCTCCTCCTCCTCCTCCTCCTCCTCCTCCTCCTCCTCCTCCCCCTCCTCCTCCTCCCCCTCCCCCTCTCCCTTCCCTCCCCCGGCAACAGCGTCGACACCCCTTTCGGCAGACACAGCGCCCCACAGAAGGGGGAAGGAGCCAGATGGCTCCGAGCCGGACTGCGGGCGATCTCCCGCCTGGGGGGGGGGAAGGCGGGTTGCCTCCGCGGTCCTCCGGGAGGCACCCCGCGCAGCCTTCTCCCCCCCCTCCCCCCTCCTCTCCTCCTCCTCCTCCTCCTCCTCCTCCTCCTCCTCCTC